CCAGCGAAAGTTTTCATTTGTACTGAGAGCTTTTGAAAGCTTTGGCACGTTGTAGNTATTAAATCAAAATAAAAGTATGTTCCTTATTGGATTATTTATGATTACGTTTTAGGAAATTATTCAGCAAGTTCTTTAAAGATTTAAATGTTTTTAAACACCGAAATTGAGAAAATGTTGTCTGGTGGCGTCATGCGGCAAATGCTTATTTCAAGACATCAAAGTGCCCACACACAAAAACTTGCAATCACATTGCTCGTCAAAATGACAGTTGGTAGGCCATCGCTGTTCGCCTGTGGAGTTCTGCGGTAAGTGAGTAAAAAGTGGTTGTAAAACAGACTAGGCCAGCGAAAGTTTTCATTTGTACTGAGAGCTTTTGAAAGCTTTGGCACGTTGTAGAAGCAGGGCTGGTATACAAGTAAGCAGCAGATACACAATGATCAGGTGATTACACGTGTAACACATGTGCTCTTCACTTAAATAAAAATTAAATCAGAATAACCACACTCAGAGCCGTTACATGTTTAATCACCCGATCATTGTGTATCTGCTGCTTACTTGTATACCAGACCTGCTTTTGCAACACAGCGTGCCAAAGCTTTCAAAAGCTCTCAGTACAAATGAAAGCTTTCGCTAGCCTAGTCTGTTTTACAACCACTTTTTACTCACTGAAACTGAAAATTATTTAAATGAAATTAATTAAATTAAGTGGAAATTAACTTTAATTTAATTTTGTATTTAATTCTCATTTAAATAATTTTCAGTTTCAATAAACTATTTATTTAAGTGAGTAAAAAGTGGTTGTAAAACAGACTAGGACAGGCTTTCGCTTTCATTTGTACTGAGAGCTTTTGAAAGCTTTGGCACGCTGTGTTGTAAAAGCAGGGCTGGTATACAAGTAAGCAGCAGATACACAATGATCAGGTGATTAAACGTGTAACACCTCTGAGTGTGGTTATTCTGATTTAACTTTTATTTAAGTGCAGAGCATAGGTCACTTAAATCAAAATTAAAATTGATTGGTGAAACCGAAAATTCGAAAATTAAAGTTAATTTCCACTTAAATAGTTTGGTGAAACTGGCTGTAAGAGCCCTATGCTCTGCACTTAAATAAAAGTTAAATCAGAATAACCACACTCAGAGGTGTTACACGTTTAATCACCTGATCATTGTGTATCTGCTGCTTACTTGTATACCAGCCCTGCTTTTACAACACAGCGTGCCAAAGCTTTCAAAAGCTCTCAGTACAAATGAAAGCGAAAGCTAGTCCTAGTCTGTTTTACAACCACTTTTTACTCACTTAAATAAATAGTTTATTGAAACTGAAAATTATTTAAATGAGAATTAAATACAAAATTAAATTAAAGTTAATTTCCACTTAAATAGTTTGGTGAAACTGGCTGTAAGTGTGGTGTGTGGTAAGGCCATTTAAGTTTACTTGTCCTATAAGTATAGTTTAGCTCGCTTCCTAGGTCCGTTTTAAATATCCCTTTTTAAAGTAAGCACTCGAAAAATTTTATACACACAAAATTATGTAGATTTTCAAAGTAAACTATTTTATAAATTTCAAAAGATTTATAAAAATTTAAAGCAATGCTTGACCACATATATATTAAAAAACTGCTAATCAATCAGATTGGCTTTTTATATACGCGCACAAGTGGAAAAATTAATTCAAATTAATTGCGACAAAATCCATTGTCCCTACTTTAAGTTCGTGTCATGATTGCAAATATGAGTTTCTATCAAAAATTCTTTTTGGTTTGGGTTATCTGGATATTTTGCTATGTATCTGCGTAAATACTTTTTCAGAATTCGCTTACCCGTTTTTACTACTTTTGGCCGCTGAAGTCCTTTGAGTGTATTTCTGCCATGAAAAAACACTCATAAAAATACAATCACTGTTCGGAGTCGGCGTAAAACTGTAGGACCCTCCCTTTGTTTGACAACACCAAAGCGCACGCCACAAATCGGAGGAGAACCTCCGGCAGAAACTAGCATACTGTCGAAAAAAAGTAACTACGAATTTTTCATAATACAGTGCGCTCGGGATAACGTCAACTAATTAAAACCGCGAGTATTGACATTTATGAAATTGTTGACGTTTTTGAATGTGCAAATTTAAAGCCAAAATTTAGTTAATACTGTAGTTTAAAGCGTTTTTATTGCTCGTAAAATAAAATCAGACATAAAGCAAATCCAGAGAAAAACAAAAAAAGGTTTCCAACCTAAATACATAAAACCAAAAAAAAAATATTTTACATGAGATCATGGCATACATACATATGTATCTATTCTTAAAAGAAATCTGTTATTTTTTTCTGCTGTTTTTTCCGCTCCGATAATTGAAATACAGCCTTCTCCATTAGACGTCTTAACACATTTAGATCATCTTGCGAAACATTCTCGCATCCGGCCCAATCCAAAGCCCGGTTAAAAATTTCTATGGCTTCGCTTGGCTTTACTGTTTGCAGATTTTCATGCACATCGTAAGCGTCATCATCGGACACTTCTAACTCCTCATTTGGTCCCGACCCAGTAACGTCATCAAACAAAATATCTTGATTCCACTCCTCAATGGATGGCACTGTATAGTCAACCTATAAAAAATATTAAAACTATGTCTGATAGTGTCCCTAAAATGGCTTAAGAAAAACGACAAACCTGAGGATTTAATTCATTAAGCACATCAACTGCGCGCGTCATTAGTAGCTGAAGCTCCGAATCCATATTTGCTTTCAGAATGCTCAATGGAACATTTTCCTCTGGATCTTCCTCAGATTCCGTGAAACTCAAAAGATTTTTCCAGCATTTAGCCATAGTGTCTGTACTGACTTTATTCCATGCGATCTCTAGAAACGTAACAGCATCCTTTAATGTTACTGTTTTCATTGAACTGACTAAATCTGAATTTTTTGCCGCCATCATGGCTAAAAGACTTGTTTTATAGTAAAGCTTCGTTATCTTAATTGCATTTTGGTCCATTGGCTGGATTAGTGGGGTCACATTTGGCGGAAAAAACATTGCAATTATGTTTCCATCCTCTGTTTTAAGCTCCAATTCACTTGGATGAGATGGAGCATTATCTATTAGAAGAAGTGCTTTAACTGGCAGATTCTTTTTTGAAAGAAACTCTGT